GTGTGAATGGAATTTGGCTCTTAACAAAGCAGCCTCAGCCGTCACTGTGAGATTGTAGTTTGGTGTGTGAATGTGTGAATGTCACATGAAATGCCAACCCTCTAAGTGGTAAAAAAAACTACAGAAAGTGCTATTTAAACATAGTCCATTGTTGACCATTTACTAACATTTGGGACTAGAACTGCAATGATCTTAAACATTTTTCCTCAGTGTCAGATATACCAGACCAATCACAATTCTTGATTTAAGAAGACAGCTCTTCATCCATTGCCATGGCTGGAAAAGGACTGTGGACAAAAAGTCTCAACAAGGCTTACAGGATTTTGGAGCGTGTGTTGAGTAATCCCGATGTGTTGATGACACATGTGATGACGTTCGAGGTCTCGCCAGCTGGCCATACCAGGTGACTGATTCAGGAACCGGTTTGCGGATTTGGCGACTGATTCATAATATAAGGGGCAGCAAAGCACAATGAAGTCCCCCTTCACAATCCGTAGACTTGAGACTTGTTGAGAAGTTGTTTTTAAATGAAAATGAATGAAATGTTTACGTGTTTTATGTTGTCCCCATAACAAAAGCAAAGTCACAAACCAAGTAACACAAGCACATTAACACCACACCATTTTCATAACTTATGTCCTCCTTTTTGACCCGCTACTGTGTCGTAAAGACAGACACCGTGTTAATAACTTCATCATTTCTGTATTTGTATCACAAACACATTGCATCATGTTTATTCATTTATTCAAATCAAAGCTTCGCGCACTAAAGCCCTGTGTCTTTGATAATCAATCTGCCTGTTTTACATTTATTGTCCACTTGATGGCACAGTAGAGCAAATGAAGCACAATGAAGCTTCGGTCCATTAGTCAAGCAATTGGATGGAAATCTTCAATGCTTCAAGATGCTTCAAGGGGATCAGGTACAACACCAAGAGGAGAAACTGGAGGAAAACCAAGCATGGCCTGTAAACAGGAGGTCATTGGATTCCTCCATCCCAACATCTGCCCACCCCAGCATTGAACCTCCAGCCACTGGGCCTGAGCGCAAAGAGGGATCCATGCTACTGAGAGCAGATACTTTGGTTGGGCTGGTGTTTGACAATCAAAGATCTGTGATCAAACTTTTAAAAATAGATAAGACAGCAACGCGGGAGCACTGTTTCAATGTATTTGTTAACAACCAAAGTGGCTCCTCCCACCACAGTAGCCCTGGCTGTTTGTAAAGGATCTTTGTAACGCCCTCTAGAAAAATGTGATGAATAAATTGTTTCCAACCCTTTAAAATGAAACTGAATTTGTCTGGTGACTCCAGGCTACCAAAAGAGAAGAGCGAGAGCTTTTGCTGTAACCCTAACCTATGAATCTGCTGACTGGTCAAACAGGAACCTCAAAACGTCTTGTGTACCTACATGGACACCTTCATTCACAGTCTTCAAACCAATATTAAGACCCACCAAATCTCCACTCAGGCTCTCATTGAATCCAATCAAGATTTACATTAAAGCTTTAATTATCTAGGCCTAATAAGGTGGATCTCTGCCATTGCACAGTGAGCTTTGTGTTATCACCTAATAGAGCCACAGTAAGTGATGCCATGGCTGGCTCCGGTCCGCTCTTAAAAATCATCCTGGGCGAGTTTGCTTCCTGCTGTCACTTCTTGGCCAACGAGTCCAGCTTCATTTGTTTCCTGGCCAAGCAGAGGTCACCTGAGTTCAGCTGGCTCAGCAGCACAGAGCGCATGCTGACTGCTCCCACTGAATCTGCAATACTCAGGTACATTAGAGAGAACAAAATGGAGTGCTTTTCCATACTAGATATATTTGTGGTGTGCTACATCAGTGGTTTCCAGCCTTTTTGTGACCCCTTCAATTTAAGTTATGTCTACGTGTGACCCTGCAGAATCAGCTGAATAAGAGCTTCTACTGACTTTCACAGACTTGTCTAAAAAATGCTATCTAAATGTCTTAAAATCCTAGACATGAAATATCAATCTTCTCTCCCAACACCAAGGGAGCAAACAGTGGTAGCTTCTGAACAATGTTCTGGCTACAGTCGTGCCAAATGTGTTAGTGCGAACCACGCCACTTCGAACTGCTTCATCAACGAAGGGTCTCCACATAAGGTGAACACAATAGGCAAGAAAGTAGAAGTAACACTCAGATTTCAACATACCGCTCAGAGACACGCTGTCACACTTGACGTGAATAAGGTGCTGTTAGCAACAGGAGACCAACCACAAACTTAACAGGTCATCAGCAAATAAACCCAGAAACTCAGAGCAAGCTAACTTGAAAGAAAGAAAAAAGAATTCAATTACAAAATCCAACCAAAAGAAACTCGACTGAGTTTTCATAATGAAAGAAATAAACAGGCACACAAGAAAAAGTCATTGTGCAAATTAAGATTTCAAGTTTCACTTTTCAATCACAGCTACGTTTTGTCTGATGAGATTGTTGTTTATAGCCCAAAAAGTCAATTTTGTTCCTTTATTCCTGTGATGTGTTAAACAATTTTCAAGGGTAATATTTCAGCTGCAGCCCTACGGTATCAGTCAGAGCCACTGCGATGATAAAACCATAAGTAAAAATAACTACACTGTAAAAATCCTGGTACTTTTCAATAGACTTTATATTAAAAAATGGTTAAATGAAAAGATCTAAAGAGGCAATCACAGGCAGGCAGGCAAGTGGTGTGTTGGTAGAGTTCTGGCATCTGAATGAGATGGTCGTGGGTTCAAATCACCCAGAGCAGCAACCCTAATGGGTTACAAATGAACTGGTTTCTTTACACCGTAGACTGAGCCCAGCATTTCAAGGGCTTAGAGAAAAGGGTTAAATGCCAAGATTTAAGAAGTCAGGTGGAGACAGGCCTCTGGTGTGGTAGATGAAGCTGCTGCCTGAATAAAATGTTCCTGCGTTCAGATCTAGCCAAAGTAGGGAAAGCAAATGGTTGAGGAAGGGACAGTAGAAGGAAGACGCCAGGTTGTGACAAGAAGAACAAAGGGAAGAAGGGAGGATGAGAAATTGGGAGTGGCGAAAAGAAAAAAAGGTCAAGAAAAAGTTAGATAAAACATCTCCAACTGTGAGAAGGTAGGGCAGATCTGGAAAAGGGTGAGCTTGTCCAATGTACATTTCTTGTGTTAACATTATCAGCTCTAAATGGAGTATAATGTTACTACCACTCAAAGGCTCTGGCGCTGGTCTATTTTACTGTCTGTTGCATAATAAAGCACGTTTCATCATTCATTTAAATTTCTCACAACTAAAAACAAAACAAAACCACACAAGTGTCTCTTCTTTTTCCTCCCATAACCAGTTCACAACCCTCCAAGCAAACTGACTGGTCAGTGGACTGAGTTTTGATAAACTCTCTGTCATTCGGTTTGTCTTCACCGCTCTGCACCTTCTCACCTCAGGAGACTTTCAGGCGGTAGATCAGCACAGCTGCTTATTATTGTAGCAAACTGAGAGGCTGTGGATCCTCCACAGAGGCTCAGTCTGTGATGTTTTCTTTTCAATTAGATTAGATTAGATTGGAAACAACTTTACCTTAAAATGTGTTTATTTAAAATGAATTCATAATCCAGATCATCACTTTCATCAGTAATAATGTTTTGTTGCTTTAGTAGGTCATTCAAAGCATCAGAGCTTATTTCACTCTCTCCTCTCTCAGTGCTTAATCCAAACTAGATATTCTCCTGAAGTTTGAACTGTCATGAATCTTTACCCTGATCAGAGGAAAAGTCATCAAAAATGTAAAAATATTAAATATTTAAAGACTCTCCTTGATGTGATTTAGTTTTTAATTGGAAAACAACAAACTGGTTCATAAATGTTGCAGTTCGGCTATGTGTGAATTTTCCTCTGGGGTTAAGAAAAGTTGAAACTTTTGTCTGTATCTAAACGCTCAGATCAAGATTAAAGAATAAAAAATAAGTTTTAAAGGAGACCATCTCTTCACCCCTTTGAACATATTCATTTTTATTTTTTTTCGGGTTCATGGCCCTCAAGTTGGAAGACACTCCTATGTGCACAACCTCATTTCAACTTCATATTACAAAGACAACATGCAAAACCTCACAGAATAAATAAAACATGTGATCTCAGCACTAAAGCAAAAACAAAGTCCTATGATCTCACAAATTTGCGTCACTGGGTGTTTAAAGTTTTATGTCTGTCATTTTTAATATGCATGCCTTAAGCACTGAGCAAAGACCAACAAGAGCTGACATATAACACTATTTTCATGACAGGCCTATGATTTGTACATTTGGCATGTTTTTTTTTCCACTGTGACATTTCTAAAAAATTGCTGGGATTATTTTTGTATGCTGAGGGTTTTATTAGTCGATAAATCATTTGAAAATATAAAAATAGGCCACTGATCAAAGAGCAGTCATCCTCAGTATTACATTTTAGAGGGATTAAATTTGAGGACATTTTCAGATGCAGGAGAACAAAGGAGGTTTAAGACTGCCCCCTTTGAATATTTAATTTGGGTTACATAATGCCTCAATAAATAGATACGGCTTAGTATAAACCAGATACTCACAGTCATCAAATAAAAATACAGCTTCTGTCCAAAGAGTCCAAGAGTTTATGCTGGTTCAGCCTCATGCTGCTTCTCTGGTCATTACAGTGTCCATTATGCTCTCTTAGTCTGTGATGAAGCTGCTGCAGCACAGAAACACTTCAATGGTGCACTTTCAGAAAAAAAAAAAAAAAGAAAATGCACACTGCTGTTTTGCAGTCTGAGTTTGTTTCCAATATGTTTTCTATGATTGTAGATGTTAGTATTCTGCGGGTACAGCTTCATACAGTCAGTGAATAAAAAACAAGTCCTCTTTATGTCTCTTCCTCTTCCTCCTGCAGTGCATCAGTCAGTGAGTCGGCCAGTTTCAGTCTTTCTTCACACCTCTCTTTTTTCATCCTCAGAAGCAGTGAGGCTCCCCTGTGTTGTTCAAACTCATGTGTCTGCAGACTTTCTGGTCCTGTGTCCTTAAACGATGGTGACATGTCTGTGTTTTATAACATCGGGCATCTAAAAGAAAAGAATTAAACATAACTTCATAAATTTTTTGTCTAAAATACTTGACTCTGATTGGATTAAACCCCACAACAATAATAATTAATTCCCCCAAATGAAACTGGCACCAAGGACAACCTGATTGCACCTGTTATGACAGATCTACCTGCACATTTCACCCCTGCCTGTTGACACTGTGGCAAATATGTTAGCTTAAGTTTCAGGCTGATCCTGAGGGTAAATGAGAGATAATGTACATCCAGCTGGTGGTTATGCTGCATGAAATTCTGACAGGGTGAGACAAGACACTGTGCAAACACCAGCTAACTCCCTGATTATCCTGCTTATTATCTGGCTGCCTACTTAAAGGAGTATTTCTGTATTTTTTTAAGTAAGGTTTTTATGTGTTACATGTCATCAGAAAGTGCATTAGCCACAACTGATGCGAGTCAGCCTGGCCTCTTTAAGCATCTTCAGCAAAACCAGGCGCTAGTTATAAAAATACAAATAACTTTATTTATCCCCGAAGGAAAATTCAATATGCTACCTTGTCTGCAAAAATCACCAACCAGAGTCCAATATGCCGAAATATTAATGCTGACATTTCTGTCCTCAGACTTACCATTAAATATAAATGAGCCCAATGTCACACTTAAACATTTATCACTGCCCCTTATGATTTAAATTTCTTGGAGCTATCAGTAATTCAAGGATGCACCCACCAGCTCTGCAGCTGTTGGCTGGATTGCAGGATGGGTCCACTTAAAACTCGCTTACCACTTTAGCATGCTAACCAGCATTTCGTATGTGTGTATCATTTCTGCTACATTACCAGCAAGCAGAAGTAAAATGAGCATAAACTCTTTTACACAGATTGATCTGATCAGAGGCCTGTACTACGAAGCTGGATTTGGTCTTAGCGAGATAACTTCTGGATAACTTCTGGGTTTTCTGTACTACGAAGGTGGATCTCTTTTTATCCGGGTCCGTTGCCCCGGTAACTTACGCGGAACGCCAAACCTGCTCCGGAGCAGGTTATGTTTCAGGATAAGATCTCAGCAGGTATAAAAAAACGCCCGATGACCAATCAGATCTCTTGGAAAATGGCTTGCCCACTTTTGCCGGATCCCGGGGACATCGTTAGTGAGACACGGATAGTGAGAGGAGCGCTCTGCCGAGAGCGTTATATTCATGATCGTTCAAATCCGTTTGATTTACCTGATGACGTTCTCTATGAACGTTACAGGTTTTCCTCGGACGGCCTGAATATTCAGGTAGCAAGAAGTCTAAGCAATACACTAATATTTGCCAAGCTCCAGGTTCAAATTTGTTAGTCATCATTCAGAATTCATTGACGCAGATTAGAAAACTCTTAACCCCAAATGTGTCTGCAGATGACGTGACCATCAGATGATGGAGAAAAAAAAAAGGCAGTGTGAGGAAATCACTGTTTACGCGTTGAAATATGTACAAATAAAATCTTCCAATAAACTTACAAACTACTTTAAAGGATGTTTTTAGATTTATTTTTATTTGCTCCCACGTACTCTTTTCCCCACTGCTGTTGTATCTGAAATAATGAGGTCAGTGATGGAGGTGATCACACACGCTGCATGACAATATATTAGGGGGCCATAAATTTATGAACGCACAAATGTAATTTACACAACCGGTGATTTTTTTTGCCGGCAGTCCCTCCGGCATTTAGCGGCTGTGTCTGTCTCACTGTTTAAATAAAGCTCTGTTCTTCAGCTGTGAAAAATGACGTGCAGCCTTCTCCATTGTGGAGATTGGTCCGGTGGCACTGACCCGACCCCCTTTACGTGTGCGCGCACAGATCTGAACTGGATTCAGTTATCGAGTTGATATCCTGCTTCGTAGTACAGCTGATCGGGATCGCGGAGATCCGGTGAAGTTGAGCGAGTTGTCGCAGAGTTATCCTGGATTTGTTAATCCAGCTTCGTAGTACAGGCCTCAGGTTGTGCCTGGTATTCCTCTCTATATTCAGGATTGTCAAGGGGCTTAAACCAATCAGAATCAAATATCTAACAACTGGCTAGAAAGAGAGGCAGAAAACAAATGCTATTATGACCCAACTAGGATAGATACTTGATTCTGATCGATTTCAAACCCCATAATAACAGTAATTACTTCTCAAAAAAAACAAACAAAAAAGTGCTTGAGTGCTGATTACACATTTCAGTTTTTAAAAAGGTAAAAAGTTTCACCTCTGCCTGTTAAGAACATTAGTTTTCATCAGAGGCTGGTCTTAAAAGCAGGTAAATAATGACAGCAGGTAAACACACATGTGAGAGCAGCCTGAGGAGCTTCTGGACTTCAAACATCCCTGGGTTTAATGTTTATTTTAAAGGAAATGTGGGGCAGAATTTTGTCCTGCAATCCAGGTAATGGCAACAGAGCAGGGGAGAGCATGACTACATTACTAATCTCGATGTTAAGTTTAAAGTGAATTTGTTTCCTAAGGAGACTGACAAGAATCTGTTACCACAGGAAGGTTTTGAGTGGAATCAGAAGGACTTTAGCTTTTAGCTAATCAAATTTATTTCTGATTTATTTACATTATCTGTCAAACTAATCCTTAGTCGGCTTTTTGGTTGATTGTTGGGTTTAAAAAAAGATAGTGGGTAGTTATTCAAATGAGAGTCCTAACTCGGTGGGCTGTACCCTGATGGAAAGTGGAGGGTCTCATCCCTCATCTAATTAGCCTTTTTAGGATCGCTAATTTGCACCTTAAATAATGCACACTGTGCATTTCTCTACCCTTTGGCATTTGAAGTCAAAGTTTATACACACATAAACTATGAAAGTTTATTGCTCCACATAAATGACAATCATTTCAAAAATAACGAGGCTGTAATTGTGAGCTTGAATAATGTATTAGTTTAAGAGGCAGCTCATTTATTACATGAATTAGTTTAATGTGGAAACAATGAGTTACCCACGTGTTACAATGGCTGATAAATGACACATAAAATGATTTACATCTTTATGACCAAAGAAAATAAATCCACATGTCTGCTCGTTTCATTTGTAAGAGCGATGCAACAACTCAGCATTTCAAGGTGAGGAAGTTCAGCCTTATTTTTTAACAAGATTCAGAAAATGAATCCCTCAAGTCTCTGCAGCACGGCTCTCTCTGCTTTATGTCAATGTACACTTATGGCCTGTTGTGCACAACCATTAAAACTATTCTAGTCCTGTTTTCCTGCATCCCCCAGGGGACACAAATACATTTGTGGTGTTAAAAGGAAAACTTTCTCTGCTCTCCCTCCTGAGAACGAAAAAAAAAGAAAAAACGGTTGTCCTTTCTGACCTCCAATTTCTCCTCATTTGTGAGAGAGTACGAGGCAAAAACTGAATCTGAATGTCCACCCTCTGGACTTAATGAAATATGACACAAGCCACAAACTGTAAAATGCACTGTAATAAAAGTACTTTCATTTTAGGTGGGTGTTTGGAAAAGTCACACTTTAATTTGAGATCACTCTGTGGCTACTCGAATCATTGTAGTCTGGTGAAGTCTGCACACAAAGTGAGCTCCCTAGAAGTCTACAGAAAGTTTGATTTAGTCCGCTTTAGGATCATTTCAGTGTTGGATTAGGACAAACCTCAGCAATCATTCTTGAAACACTTTAAGATGTCCAAAAAGTTTGGACATTTGGATAAGCCAAAGATCCTGACAATCCTATTATTATAAGAGGGAACATTACAACTAAAAAAAAAACTCTGCTGGCACTCTAATCTCTATGAAACAGTTTAAACCAAAGCTGAAAAATGAAGCCAGAGCCTGAAGCTAAAAAAGCCATGCAATTCCACAAGTGTCCACTTGAGGTTGTCTAAAAAACATATTAACAATCTGGTTTAAAAAAATGTTTTGTTTGTAACTGGGAAAAACTTTTAAATTACTCACACTGACAGATTGGTTTAGTGTAGCTGTTTCCCAGGATGTAAGACCTTAACCCAACCCCTTTACTGGTTTCTGAGGAAGTTAATTGGTGTCAGTATTGACGGTATGGTGACCACCATCTTCACGCTTCATTACCTTTCTTAAAAAACCATTATACATAAAATAATTAGATTCAATATTCAAATGTCTTAATATAGATTATGAAACATGTTTACTGACTGAGACAAAAACCCATCTCCAAAGAATCTATAAGGCTTTATTTCTGACCTTTTAAGCTATTATAAAAATTCATAACAGCTAATAGAGTTATAAGCAGTGAACATTATAAGCATTATATGGTTTGTTATGTATTATACCATAAAGCACAAGAAAAAAACAGCACCTTTTTATTATTGGTTGGTAACACATCATAACTCTAACACCATTATGACAGTACATAAAGAACTCTTTCTATATAAAATTTTTTAAAGTTATAATTTCTATGATTCTCTGTTCTGAAATCAATGTCTGATTAATACTAACAACATGCTAAAGCCTGATTTTGGGTGCTCTAAATCAAGTGAGAGCACTGGGTGAGGTTATTAACAATTATACTGTATGTTCCTGTAATGCAGTGGTTCTCAAGTCCAGTCCTCGAGGCCCACTGTCCCGCATGTTTTGGATGTTTCCCTGCTCCAACACACCTGATTTAAATGATCAGCTCGTTATCAAGCTCTGTAATGGCTTAATAACGAGCTGATCATTTGAATCAGGTGTGTTGGAGCAGGGAAACATCCGAAACATGCAGGACAGTGGGCCTCGAGGACTGGACTTGAGAACCACTGCTTTAACGCATTTATAAGGAGTTATAACCAGTATTTGTGGCTGTCAGTAAAGCATCAAACAAAAATGCTCTACAAAAATAGTACAGTTTCATAATTAGACTGTAAATTTGTCATGTGCATTAAGGTAAAATATTTAATGAACCATACATTTATGAGGCATAATGCTCACTGCTTATAAGCACTTCATAAACGTTGCTATAAGCTGTTATTATAATCAATCATAGTTATAAGATCGCAGTTATAAGACTTGATAAATTTGTAATAATACATTTTGAGAGGCTAGTTTAAATAAAGTGTGTAAAGACGGTTTTGGGGGTAAAATCGTGAAAACTTCATCCTACTCCTTTTTGCGTGCTGTGAGCTTGATGTTCAATGTTTCTGTTCCTATTGTTTTTTTGTTTTTTTTAATACTTTTCTTTTGCTATTCTTGTATAGTAATATCCTTAAACAAATGTGTTTAAATTTTTTCTTAAATGATTAACCTTTTTGCTTTCTATCCTGATGTTACAAACATACCTCAAAATAACTGGAGCCATTTGCCTGGGAGAAGCCGCTGTCTGTGATGTCACTGCCAGCAACCCCTGTGAACAAAGACATAAACACAGGAGTTCAGACTTTTCAGAAGTTTCCTATGACCTTTCTACAGGATTGGAGTGCTGATTTATCAGATGTTGTCTGTATAACTTGTGTGTATTTGTGCAGATGCACTTCTCTTACTTGTCTGGCCGTCCTTCACGTATCCTGCATTCACTTGACCCCGTCCAGCTGCCGTAACAGCACTGAGCTGACTCTGTGTCCTCACCCTCCTGTTACACATACACATGAATGTCAACAGTCTGATAATACTACAGTGTGTGGACAGCTGCAGAAGGTCATGCTGAGAAGAAAAGGTGGAATGATGAAGTGCTGATACAGTTTTCATCCTTTTAGAGTCTTCTTACCTCATTTCATCCTGGTAGCTGGACTCTAATGAGGGTTATAAGAAAACAAATTAGAACATGTCAGTGTGATGCATTAAATGATAATATTTCTCTTGATCTAAATTTGATTGTCATTGGTATGAATTGCATTTAATGATGATTATAATACCATTATTAGTGGCAGATTCAAGATGTCAATTTTTTTTTTATCCTCGTCTAGCCAGATTTTTTAAAACTCACCGCTTTATTTATTTATGTTAACAGCAAAATGAATTGAAAGTTTAGAGCACAACTAGCATAATTGGCTCTGCCAGAGAGTGGCAGCTGTTTTCATAGGTATTGCACATAGACCAAAAAAACCCCACCAAAATAAAAAATAAGTGGCGAGTGCACCAAGAGAACAAGTGTCAGTGCACTACCAAGCAGCAAGCCATGGTTTTGAGAAATGAACGCAATGCAGAAATGCTAAACTGCACTTCCCTCAGTGTCCACTTGAGGCTGGCTCTGGAAGCAGAAAGTCTTTTTTTTTTTTACAGCAGAAATAACCATGGTACGAAAAAAAAAATGGTAATTGGTCTGAGTACGGTGTTTTAAAGACATTACTGCAATGATTTTTACATAATTATGGGCATGGCCAACTCATTTGACAGGTGGGCCCCATTGTGGCTGTTCGTCAAGAAGCTGAAGGCCCACCTAAACTCGGGCTTCAGAACTCCCCATCAGAATCCAGTGGGTCCAAACGCGTGGCGGACCTCGGTGCGCCTCAGTCTACGTAAATACCAAACTGGCTGTACGCTGGGGTCCGCCACCCTCCGCCGCGTCCCCGGCGGACACGAAAATAGAGCCCTGAGTATTATTCCTACTTTTTTGTCTTCTATGTGCAACTTTTTGTGGTTAGCTCTCATTGAATTGGTCTGAGGTGAAGTGGTTAGAACAAACAAATTAGCACCAACTGTATGACTAAAGTTAACATGGATTGGCAAGGAAAAGTGAGTTTTTCACTATGTTAGACCTTTAAAGAAATTGTCAATTGCCCTGTTGGGTCAGTCCCTGTAACTGTTTGGAGAGTCTCTTTACTCAGACAACCAAGGTCACGACCAGAACCAATTTTCCTATAGGAGGAACCGTACTGCAGATACACAAAGGGTTCGTTTTAGATAGGCAGAATGATGCTGTGGATATCTGAAATTGAATAAACCCTAATAAATATGGATGGAAATCCATGGATATGATGTCATTTGTCCCAGAAAGAGTGATGTAGTGTGTTTTAGGAGCGACAGCTGTGGATAGAAGGGATGTCATGGTGGAAATCTGTAATGTTCATTTTGACTAGGAAGAATGAGATTACAAAATATCATTAAAAAAATGCCTACATTTAATCCAGTCTATTTTTAAAACAGCTTTAATGCAGACCGATTTAGCTGATCTGAATTTTAATACATACAATGTAATGTTATAATATTCCAATCTTGGATGTCCTTTCAAATCTCTGCAAAGTTTCAGAAAATGAGATAAAGGAGTAATCTCCAATCTCTGCAGGATTTGGCCTGAGCTTGACATCTGCTGTCCTATTAAGGGAAATGTTGAAGGACTCGCCCACCTGAAAGATCTTTCAAATGTTCCTTATCTCAGAGGTGAATAAGGCTGCTTGTTTTTTCCTCTGCTCTGCACTTTGTTGACTCAATATGTCTCTGAGAGTTTCACAACTATTTTCTATTTCCACAGAAGAAGGAACCAAGAAACAATGGCAAGTTTTCATGTTTTTGGGGCAACAGCCACAAAGTAGATGTTTGTGCTCCATGACTACCAAGCTGTGTAAAAAGTAACTCCCACACACTGAATTTGACTTAATATTACTGGAAAAGCAGCCAGAATGCAGTGTTTAAATTCACACTATTATATTTATTTCTACCATTTATAGTGTTCTCAGTGGTTTTCAAATAGTGATTATGAAGTTTTGGGCCAAAATAACGTTACCTGTGTCATTTTCAAGGGCTTTTCTTCTGCAGAGCTCCAGTAGCTCATTATCAATTCACCTCTGAGTCATGGGCGGAGACAGCGCTGCTCTGCACACTCTTCTTCACGCTAGCTTGTAGCCTAACATTGCCAGTGTAAGAAGCAGGTAACATAGGAGCTATTCAGCTCTTGGACACTAATGTCTTTGGAGGTATGATGAAAGTTAAAATCAAAATTAGCTTTCTCACGAGCACTGCAATCCGCTACCCCACACGCTTGTTCTGTGATCGTCCTCTCTACTTCTTGGAGTCTGGCCTACAGAGCGAGGCTCCAGGGGTGGAGCTTGGATTTGCTACGTAGGAAACCTCACTGTGTCTGAACCTGCAGTTTGGATCTGCCAGAGATTCACAGCAATTTGAAGGCAGAAATACCCAGAAATACAGTTTTGCATGTATTTTTCTCATGATATGTTCTTTCGCATCAGAAAAATGCCTTATGAACATATAGACGACAAGAAAAACATGATTTTCATCGGAGTGGGTCTTTAAGACAGAGGGTTAATGAAGCTCAGTTTAGGGTTTTCACGGACACTAGTTTATGTTAATTTAGGAGTTTTTTGAGCTGCAGGTGACACAGAGTTACTCTACAGATAACCCAACTCAACACTATACTAATGACAGGTCTCCTTCAAATACTGCATATGAAAATCCTTTTTTTAAAGTTTACTCTAAACTGAATCATAGTTAGCATTATGCAGACCCCCGCTGTGTTGAAGACTAATTGGATGTTAAGTTTAAGACCATAAACTTATTTGAAAAGAGTTTCCTGAGGTCATAAATCAACTGATTAGTAATTCAATATCCTGTGGAGCCCCAAAGGAGACACAGAGGATTTTGGAGGAACTTCTAGAAATCTATAGAAAAGTTTATGAAATCCCACAAACACTTTTTATTCATTATTCAGATGAATTCCTTCTTTTCACTCACACTCAGAATCTATTCACAGATTCAGACTTCCCTGGTCAAAAACTCATTTGTGAAACACAACTTTCACTGAGAGTAAAACCTCCTATAAACCTTAATGAAAGATCTGCAGCCTGTTTTTAATCGGTATGAGCCATCCACAGAAGCTGCTCAAAAAACTGTTGACCATGATATGCAGGTGAGTTTTACCCCTAAAAACAGGAGACTAGGATAACATTCTCACACAGACTTACTTTTTTCTTTCCGGCGTTTGTAGCAGAAGATGATTCCTATGATGAGTAAAACCAGCAGAGCAAACCCTCCGATGGACACAACCATGGCAATCAGGACGGTCCAATCCGGAGGCTTCGGCACTGTGACAGAAGAAAGACAAGATTTAAGAATCAAAGAAAAAAAAGTTTGTTATCCTTAAAGAAACTATTGAAATTTAAAGAACTAAATACAACAAAAAAGAGGAAAAAGCAGAGGATATGCTTCAGGTTATAGAAAAAAATACTGCATGTACAAAGTTTGAATTTTTTTTTCTTCAATACCTTTTTATGATTTAAAATCTGTTCAGACTGACTTTTGATACTAAAATAAATAAAATATTCCTTTTTGTGTTTTTGTTGTCACGTAAAATCAATCCTGGTGCTCTCTTAACCCTTTTACTTAATTTCTTTCCCCTTTTAAAGCACTTTTTAATTACCTTTTATCTCACTGCCTCTATAAAAATATAATGGCCCTGCCTTTTACACATTGCAGTTGCAGAAACAGATGGTGCTGCTTATCCCACAGATTCTCTTATCTTACAGAAAAACCCATATCATTACCATACTCCTCTACTCCAGACTGCGTCAGCATAAAACAGCCCCTACAGCGTTTGTGAGCTTTTCTGTGACCGTTGTCTTAAAAATGTGCAATTTCACGGCAGATTTTTCAAAAAAAGTTAAGATGCAAGTTTACTGAGTTCTGGGTCTTTCGTCTTTTCACGGATGCTGGAAGGGACCCAGAAAAAAGCTCTAATACAGCAGTCCATGTGAGCAAGGTGGTAGTCCTCCAATATCACAAAGAGTGTGTCTTGTGGATTAAGTGTCCTGGTTTTGATGGATTTTTAAAAATAACTAGTTTTTGTGTTAGTCTGGGTAAACATCATATTCTGATTTCAGAAGCCCTTATGTAAATGTTGCTACCTGGAGAACTCCAAAAGAAAAAGGGACTCTGTATCATGGCCTCACCCCAGTTTCAGATTACCCTCACAGATGTGGCCTCAGCCAAGTGCAGTCTCAGCAGAATTAACATGGAGGTGAAATGACCATGGAGAAATGTTGTTTTATCTTGTAAATTGATATAATTGATATAAGATGGAAGACAGCAGGAAAATCTGGATTCAGACTCTCTGGTAAACAGGCTACTGGACACTGGTTTGCCAACACACACAGTAGTTGTGTTTGCAAGGGCTTAAAGGGATAAAGGGATTAATATTAAAGGGATATTCTGGCAAAAAATTGACACTGTAGCACCGACTTAGACAACCGGGTCGAGGGATGAATTTTGCCGACCACTTGCTCCTCTAGTTATACCAACTTTAGTAACGACCGCAGATAGCAATAAAGAGAGCCACGCACTCAACCAAAAAGCCACTCTATAGCCACAAATAATGCTCAGAACAGCACCTAACTTCATCAACAGTACATATAGGGTCCCAGCCATAGTACTAGCCACCAAACATCTTTTTAGCTTTGCCTAATTTCTTTAGCAAAGACACTAAACACAACTCACTCACTCTCCTCAAGCAGCCGCTTGTTTGTAGCAAGACCTCAGGCCACTCCATTGCAGACTACAGCGGGATGATACAGATCAAGGAAGAACATTTATGATCATTACTTTATCATTTCGTTGAAGTAATAATCATCATATTAATCATTTTGCACTGTAGACACTGTAGTTCTTCTGCCTTAGCATCTCAGTCTGATATCATTTCCATGAAGAAATGCCTATAAAAGAAATCCTCTATAAAATTCCAGAAGAGTTAACTGACATTTATGAAATCAGCTAAAATTCACTTTGATGCCTTTAGCATATGCAAAGACAAAGAAGATCAAAACTGACAAGACTGATGACTTTTGCACTTTAATTTTTAATACCTGAAACTAAAGCGATTGGTGTCAGCTGAAGAAATAGCCCCGTGTTTACAACATAAATTCACGACAAATAAGAGATTTGACTGTCAGCAGTCAAATTTACACAAACTAAGTTCCTCACAGGAGCTTTAAGACACGACACTACATAGTGAAACTTGACACACACACACACACACACACACACACACACACATTATTTTTCTCTCTGATTTCTCTGATATGTCACATCTAATGATCTGAGATGGTGTTTTCACAAGTTAGATATGAAACACATGTACCAAAAATAGTGAATGTGAGTATTCTGGTTTTTATAGTTCTTGTAAAGTCCAAAGTCATACAGATTCAGTTTCATATTACAAAGAAATTACATGGATTACATACAAGTGTCAGATAACGTTTAGTAAACACTTTTTTTTTTTTTCATATGAGCTGATAACAAAAAAGATTATTTCGCCAAATGATCTAAATTGGAGTTTTCTCTTCAAACTGCAGTTTGGTCACAGGTTTTCACTCCCTTTAAGAAATGTGTGAGTCTTTTCTGTTATTCAAAGCTGCAGTGGATAAACACAACACAGATCACAATGAAGTAAGTTGTCTTTAATGACTTGGACTAATAATAGTCAGTCTCTGTCTTGGACAGCATGTTTTTCATGCTGCATAAGTGCTCAGTCTGGATGAAACTGTACACTGTTGATCTAATTTCTCCTCAGTACGTGTCAAATGGGGTTTTTATTTGGTTAGAACCAGATCTGATTGGATTACTCTGAAATTACACAGGTCATATGTTAATGTCAGGGATACAGAGGGTCTATTTGAGGATTTGTAGACATTTGTGAGGCATGGCTAGAGAGATGAGATTAAATACAGCAGATCTTTTAAAGGAATCACAAAGTAAAGGTACAACAAAACAGTCCATAAAGTTTTGCTTTTTCACTCTACATTCGATCAGCTTTGTTTTAGCATTATGTTTGATCAAAACTGTGAAAAATTGTGTTGTCTTTAGCTTTGCAAGCTCAAACAATGAGAGTAAGAGTTATTTTTGTCAATAAAAATGTCGACAATGAGGACTTAGGACACATTTTTCATCTTTTAATCAAGATTTTTTTGTTTTGTTTTATTTATTTTTTTATCTGCAACAAGTGTACCATACATATTCTCACTGCCTCTCTTGTACCTGTTTAATGGTGTTCGGCCTGTGCATGTTTGTAACTTTGAGGACACAAGGTGAGAAGAAAAAAAACTCCAACTTTAACAAAACACTTAAAGATGAGAGACCTTGATGAGTCTGTCTAGATCAATGAAAGTGATGTATGAAAATTCAGGGACAAAATTATGCAGCAACTCTTAAAATATAATGTTCACCTGTGTAGTCAGGTGCAAAGGTGAAGAGGAAGCAGAAAATGTCTAAAATTGGGGAAGGGGCGGCAGAGGACGTGGAGATGAGTAATTTTTCCTTATCTCAGACTAGGACACCATCACTGCAATCTTCTTATATCCTCACCGTAATCTACTGCCTGAGACATCACCAATGTAGAGCAATTTGCCTCTGCAGGATCACCTGACTCCTAAAGGGGATGAAATCAGACACAGTGATTGGTCTGAACGATTTTAAAGGGAAAGGGCGTAAAATTGAGTTAGGGTCAGACACACCGTAACACCGAGTTAGACACCCCATCAAGAGATGAATGTTGCCGAACTCTTGCTCCTCTACTTATACCAACTTAAGTAACAGCCGCAGATAGCAATACAGAGAGCCAAAGGCTCAACCAAAAAGCCACTCTATAGCCACAAATAATTCTCAGAACAGCACCTAACTTCATCAACAGTACATATAGGTTCCAAGCCATAGTACTAGCCACCAAACATCTTTTTAGCTTTGCCTGATTTCTTTAGCAAAGAGACTAAACACAACTCACCCACTCTCTTCCAGCAGCGGCTTGTTTGTAGTGAGACCTCCAGGTGAGTCCATTGAGTGCAACGGGGTGACACAGCTCAAGGAAGAACATTTATGATCATTTCTTCATGAAAATGGATCAGACAGACGCTAAGGCCGAAGAACTACCGCGTCTGCAGTGCAAAATTATTAATATGATGAATATTATCTCAAGGAAATGATAAAGTAATGATCATAAATGTTCTTTCTTGAGCTGCGTCACCCCACTGCAATCAGTGATGACTCCCTACAAACAAGCGGCTGCTGGAAGAGAGAGGGTGAGTTATGTTTAGTCTCTTTGCTTAACAAATTAAGCAAAGCTAAAAAGATGTTTGGTGGCTAGTACTATGGCTGGGACCCTATATGTACTGTTGATGAATATTAAATAAAAATAAATATAAATATTCAGAATATACCGGAGTATCCCTTAAAGTCCAAAGGTTCTGCTGCTGAAATAGAAAATGTGGACAGATATGTGCTGATTCAGTCTGCACCATGTGCTTACAGTGGGCAGTTTTTGTTATACAATTTTACCAATTTATCCAAAATGTAAAAAAACACCCATATGTGAGTCACCATAGATGCACATCTGACTCAACACTTACAGGATTTCAGGAATCATCATGTTTTCTCAGGAGTTGTTGCAGTAGAGTTGATATTATTGGTACTACTGTCTGTTACCAGGTCGTAACACATCCTGCACTGGTGCATAAACCGGCTGTGTAGTTTGTTTATTTAAGAGCACAGGGACTGTGTTGGGAGACTTTTTAATGAGAGAAAAGAAGTGGTGAGATCTACTTACCAACCACCAGGAAAACAGAGCTTGTCTGTGGTTTTGTAAGCGTCTCCACCGTCGCCTGACACTCCACGGTTGTGTTTCTGACAGCCTGAAACTTCAGGACACTGGTGGAGTTGACGTAATCCCCATTATCCATGTGGGTGGTGTTCCACAGTTTGGTGTCCACTGTTTGGCCATTTAGAGCCCAGCTGACGTTCGGTGTGGGAAACCAAGCTGCCATTACACACCTGAACTCCACCTGCTCGTCCTGATTCACCTTCACGTCTCCTTCAGTGATGTTGACTGTGCCACTCTCTGGGAAATAAAGACAGGTCAGAGTTTGGAGTGTGAGAAAACTTTAACGAAGAGGTTTTCTTTTGGTTTTCGTCTCCACTCTGATGAGCACTGAGCTCAGTCCCAGAGTCCCAGAACAATGTATGTGTGTAATTACCCAGAAAGACAAACATCCACTCAGCCGCTTGTTAAAATGTTCTTATAATTAAAAATGAAAACTGATCTTATCGACTATAACAGCTGAGTTATATTCTAGTCAGAGAATTTTTTTAAATCAAAAAGATGTTTTTATGAACTATGGGTAATGTCTGATCAGCACAGCCCTGTTTTTTTATTACTTTTAGATCAACAAGTGTTTGAATTGAAGATTTTTCTGATAAGCTGTGGCAATCTGTGATATCTGATATTATCACTTTGGAGAAACTGGGGTATTATATTAGAGGAAGGTCTCATTGTTTTAACCCATGTAAAAGTAAATGTATTATGACACTCTAAAATTGAGATTGTTAGACAGGTTGAAGGATTTTTTTTTTAAATGTACACCCCTGTAACTCAAACCTGCAACAACCCATGCACATTCACACGTTGCAGTTAATGTCTGGGTTTGGTGTGAGTCATGTAGTGGTGCAGTCACCGTGTGTTGTTGCTTTGCCATCGCTGTCAGTGAAAGAAAAGACATAATGGGTCCAAATTATTGTGTTTTGCACCCATCAAGAGGTGACAGCACACGGCTCTAGTAAACTCTTAGCCACCCTACTGAGTCATACAGGGCTTCCTTGTCCGTAGGTGGCAGTATGAACGGCGGTAGGCTACATACAATATGATGGATTAAAGATGTTCTCAACCTTTCAGTGAAGTTTGAGGCAGTTTGACATCCTGTATGTTTGAGTTACGGTGGCTTATGTGATGAAATGTAAAACTTTGACAAACCACTAAAGCAACACTCACTGAATTTATAACAAAAACCAAAAACCATCTTAAAGTAAAAACTGGCTGGAGAACAAGGGTTTTAGAAGTGGTTTGGATTTACCCAGCTGGAGAAATAATCCCAGCTGTTACCCCAGAGTTGGTCAACTCTGCTGAGATGTTACTGCTGCACCCTTTGAGTTTTGTACAAAAGCTAGATGTTGCATTGTTTGTGTCTATTTCACCTGTATACCAAGCTCAAGGGGGATTTCAAGATCCTCTCAAAGTTACTCCCTGTTCATTGGCAAACAGTTTACTGCCATGGCAACAGCATTAGGCGTAGACTTATGAATTACCATTTGTTGTGAATTGGAGCAATACATATAAAGACAGATTGACTTATTAGTGTGTTGGAAAATAGTGTTTGACCATTTGTGTGTGGAGTAAAGGCAGGGCATTTCATGTCGCCACCAGGGGGCGATATGTGAAATGTCTGGGTATGAGAAACTCCCTTAACACCTTAGATGCGCGCAAACTGCCAGCTCATTTAACCCTAAAACATCATCGCTGGGTGATTTTCACTCGACCAAACATGTTTACATGATTTTCATTATGTTGCATTTGTCTGAGTATCATGGTCCCTGGGTAGCTTCAGCATTGCCTTTGACATGCTGAAAATATATATATATAATATATATATATATATATAGCGATAGTGATGGTGTTATTAATTTTAGCAATAGTGTTCTAGGGTTAAACCAGGGCTGAAAACGTTACTGTTTACTGCAGCTTTGCAATGGCGTCATTTCCTCTTACTTCTACTTTGCTGCTCTGTCAATTTCAACTGTTTTAATGATTTTAAATTACATTTTAATATTATGTTTTAATATTTTATTAATTTTAAGATGCCTTTTTTTAATTTCATTTTTTTTTTATTCTCTGTTTTATAATTTCTTTTGTATTTCCCTGCATCTGTAAAGTACTTTGAATTGCTTTGTGTATGAATGGTGCTATGCAAATAAACTTGCCTTTTCTTGCTTCTAACCTGGACCCTTATCAAACATGGTAAATCTGGCTCAGAATGGAGCATTTACAGCTGATAAAAACCTACTTCCTGCTTGATGGGGAGGCATTGAACTCTGAGTGCTTAACACACTTGTCCCCGTTTGAGTTTGAAGCATAGAGGCTGAGTAACTTTTCAATATTAAAGTCTCCTTGTTGCTGTATGTCTTGAGAAAATTTCCATGGAGTCAGATATGTGTACTGAATTTCATCTTAATGGGTGAAACTGCAGAGAGGACTGTTCTTTTGAAAACTGCCAGGAGAAGCTTTCAAGCTGATTTACGATGCTTATTTATGGCACCAACAAAACATAAATATTTTTTTATAATGTCTCCACCAGTGCATATTTCAGAAGGTTCTCAAGCATTGAAGAATGCAATTGATTTGTTTAAATGAAAATAAGAAATCTATCAAGAGCAATTACAATAGAGCGCGCGCACCATTAAGTGCTCAGGCCCTAATTACATTTGCACAAAGCTGGCGAGAAAACTGCTGGATGTGATTCCTGGATAAGCCATTCTCTGTGATTAACAAATGAAAAAAAAAAGATATAACAGATATGAGACAAACATTTACATCCTTCTTTGATTTGATATGCTAAAGCAATCAATTTCCCCTTGGACTGTTGGTGTTGTTTATTTTCTAGATGATTTTTTTTTGCACCATTTTAGCACCATTTTTGCCTTTACTGCTTAAGAGATGGGAGTTATTCAGAGGACAGAGTTGGTGGGTATAAGATGCAGCTCATGGTCCAGGGTCAAAGTGAAGCTTGTGTTTATGAAGCACATGTTCTGATCACTGAGCCAAGCCAAGCGCCCCGTCAGCGTCTCTTACTAACATCCTTGCAGAACGGAATCAATGTGCTCACCTGGCAGGTCTATTAAGTGGATTTATTTGCTGTGGCTGCAAGTTTGCTTCATGCACAGAGAATGTCTGTAATCATGGAGGTCCTAATCTACAGCGTGAGGTAGAGCTCCTACACTCTAATAATCAATATCAATTCACAGCCTGAGACTGCAGGTCAGATGTTACACAGCCAGATTAGCTTTAGGTTATAAGATTAGCTGCACAGAGAGTAGGAAGCACACATGCAGTCTTTTGTTTGATTTATTTTTTACTGCTGTTTGGAGCCGTAGTTTGAGGCTGGTTAATGGGAGGAACTAGCTCAAAGAAATATGTGGAGATGTACTAAATGTCCCCGTCCGTGTTTCCTCTTGCGCTAACAGCAAAATATATTTTTGTTTTTCTTAGAGGGAGGGTAACTTTAATCCAAAATATTCATGTCAGAGATTTTCTCTCAGGCTCCACATCTCCATTTCTGAGCTTCTGATGTCAAAACATGTCCCACTTCTTCTACATTTATAAGCTTGTGTAAGTAAAGCTGTAAACAACCCTGTAGTGATATTATGCATATTCCTCCTACTAGAAGTTGTGTCTGCCATGGACTGGAAGACTTTGGGGAGACTTTGAAAACACGACTTTTACAACCTAAAGTCTGAAACTCCAACATCTGGTATATAAAGTCGCAGACTGAGAGTTTGCAAGCTGTGTATCTTGCAGGGTTACAGTACAAGGTCATAACTGCACTTCATTTGGGATTTTTACTGTTCTGCTTCAGGTGGAGATTGTGCATCATTTTCATCTTTATGACTGTCAAACAGGAGCAGCTTTTGGCCACAGCTTTCTTTAAGTGTGTGCCGTGTCCTCATAGCAAGGAAGCAACAAACTTTTGAAACTCTTTGTAGCTAGGTTTGCTCATCTGCCCGAGTCAAAGCATCAAGAGCCGGTGGAGATGATGTCCTTGTTTGTTTGGTGACATGCCTTCACAGACATCAGGCTAAACACAACACTGATGATGAATGAAACAGAAGTTTAAAAGTTTGCCACTCGCCAGATGTTATTATTTGGAGACTGCGGTTGCTTATATGCTGGAAAGTGATGTTGCATGTTTGTACCCAAGCAGGTTTGAAAAACTGGGTCAAGTTTCAGGAAGTCCGTACGTGCCATAAAACAGATATGGGAATTGTAGAGTCACCAAGTCATCTCCATGCCATGTATTTGTTCTGCTCAGTTACTGAACCAGGTGCCTTCACTAATGAGCTCACCTTCCTGGCTGCTCATTGGAAGCAGCTGGTTCAGTGAAAGAGCAGAACAAATACATGGCATGGAGATGACTTGGTGACTCCACAATTCCCATCTCTGCCATAAAGAAAAAAATATGTATCTGGCTCATTTTCGATGCTGTATACCATATGCGTCAGGTAATGATCTTAATATGCCACAGGGTGTCACTATTCTGCTGTCTGTCACTGCTTTTCCTTCTGTTTGTCCCACGCTGGACACCATACTTGTGTCAGTTGCCATATTTTTCAGCTTTTGTTTCGCTCTTCTGTGTGAAGTTAAGTTGTAAACAGCAGCCAGAATTATGAAGAAAACATGATTTAAACATCACATTAGGTGAATTTGTGAACACATGAAGTTCATTACGATACTAACCTATAGTTTGTGGGTGAAAACTAAATTGTGTCCCACCATGTAAAAGTGTTTTCATGTGTCGTTTATCAATAGGTAGCAAAGCCAGGTGAAGCGCTTACACTTAGGATAAAGTTATATTTCATTCAGTTATTTGTCTATTTATTTATTTGCCGTCAATTTAATACTGTGTAGATCTTAACTAGCAAGGAAACGATATTTTTGATGCCCCTTTTGATTTCGATAGATACAGTGGAGTATATATAAGGGCAGCGTTAGAGAAAAAACATTTTTTTTTACAGATTAAAAAAAGTAAAATAAAACCATGCTGTTATGTTACATTATGCTATGTTATGTATACAGGTGGTGATGTCATAACATTATTCTCATGTTATGAGAATAAAATCGTGATCATGTCATTGTTTGAGTTCATGGTTGGCAGCCAGCTGCTGGTATTAAAATGCCTTTAAATATGATTTTACTGAAACTTGATATTTAATCTTTGACGTACAAAAAAATTTTGAAAAAAATGATCTAATGTGGCCCTTACTCTCTGTACTAGTCTGATTGGTGTTCATGTCAAAGATTAATTCCTGAAGCAGATTTTGTTTGCACTTCTATGTAAAGGTGATGAAGCCAGCAGCCACTGTGATAAGCAAGAACCTGCGAACTAATAAATCTTGTCCAGGTCTCAACCACAGACTGAATCCTGGATCCAGTGCTTCTTCATCTTTGTATCACATTGCCCATACATACAAACATAAACACAGAGACACAACACAGAGTCTCAGGGGAGTGAAGAGAGATACCATCACTGGACAGCCAGCAGAGACTGTGGGTTACTAATGGATGATTGTACAGACTGAACAGACTGTTATCCAGACAAGATGATGCTAATTGGTCTGAAAGTAGCTCTTGCATTGTTTCAGCATCTGACAAATTATGTTGTTTCAGATTTAAAGGCTTCTACAGTTTATCTTGATTAATTGGCCATTTTTAATACACTCTACACTCTCATGTGGATCATATCTGTGCATTATATCAGTGTAAGGCATCTCACCACCAACTTGGCCAAATGTGAATCTGCCAAAGCCAAAGTTGCACACTTGTTTGTGTGGTGGGCAGAGTTGTGTGGTCCAGGCTGAGGTAAGGCTTATATCAAGATCATTTTGGGACATTTAAGTCCAAGTCACGTTTGTGTGCAGCTTAATGAAGTGCAGTTCCTGTCTGTGATTGGTGCTTCAGACTGTCGTTGAGAGGGCTGTGGTAATAGATCACTGTGTTTGCTGAGCTTGATGCTTTAATCCCACTTTTATCTCAGAGAAAGAAGGAAATGACTGATGAGGTAATAATTTCTCTAAACAAGACAACACATGCAGAAGTTATTACTGTGGCCACCTTTTGTAGTAATAAGAAAGAAAGCCATTCCTGAGTTTTATTTTTTGCTCTGTTCATGATGCAGGAGGTTTTATAACTCTGTCTGCACAACAGAACAACTTCTCTCTGTAGAAGCAACAACAATTAGAGTATAAAAGGTTGTTTTAGTCTGAGAAAGAAGTCATTACACACACCCACTCACAAAAACAGCCTCGGTAAGTGGAGATTCCTGCTTCATCTTGTGCCTGTGAGGGTGAAAATCACTTTAAGTTGACTGAAACGAGCACAGTTCCTCCATTAAGCGCAGCTCCTTTCTAAAGGTGAGTGGGAGATAATGAGTCCTCTATTATCATGCTAACAGCAAGGATAACAGGTGAGCAATTATATATTCATGTCAGTGTGAGCAAGAGAGACTGTATAGAAGAGCATCCATATTGCTGTCATACACTGCTGCCCTCTAGAGTTAATGGTGGTCATTACAGCTCACACCTTAAGGGGCTTGTTGATGATAGTATGAAAGAGGAAGCCTTAAGCTTATCAAAGCATCCTGATTTCGATTAGGGTTTATATAAGTATTTTATGTTTGTGTTTGTGCACATAAACATCATATGGTGTAAGTGTGTAAGGGCTCATTCCAGTTTGAGAAACTTGATTTTTCCAATTGCAAGAACTCTGAAAGCACACAGTATACTGTGACAATGTGACTTAGATTCCTGACATTGCTTTCTGACAGCTGCCTCAGCCAAAGAGCACATTTGCAAAAAAAAAAACATGGCAGTAGCAATAAGTGTCTTCCCCATAAAGAGGGGAAAAACAGTTTTGTTTTGTTTTGATTTTAGGCGATGAAGGTGAAAATCAAATAGAAGTTGGACCTCCACTTTGGGGAAAATGAGACTTTCTCATCAGTGAAAGTTGTCCTTTATTCAATACCTTTTTTCACAAACTGTAAAAAGTCGACTCTATGAGTTTGATATGCTTAACTAACAGTTAGACCTCTAATGGCACATGCTCAGTCAGAAGGTCTTCTACGCCTGGACCTCTGCTGTTATCAAGCGATTTCACTAGCTTAATATTTGTTCCTCTTTGTATCATTTTTACAAACTTTAGTGGTAAACTCTTGGAGTAAAATATTATGGCAAAGTTTATATCAATTCAGAATATTTAAAATTTCAAATTTTTTGATTACAGAAGATAAAATTGCTGTCGTCATTTTTAATCTAAAAGTCTTGACCAGTTCTCTGAATAATGTAAAACGATGTGAAATATTGCAAAAATCCAAAGTTCCCCATTTAAAGATGACCAAAATGAGATGTTTTAATTTTATCTTAATCAAAACAATTATTCAGTCACAAAAATATCAACATCAAACTTTGCAGTTTGAATTTTTAACCCTAAAAGGCTATTGACTGCATAGTTTTGGGACCTTTTTCTTCAAAGGAGTGTCTAACAATCACAGTAAAGCCAAGTGTCAAATCACAGCAAGTGTCTGTAAACAGTAAATAACTGTAACCATGTCGCTGTACCCTGATAAACATTCATGACCTCACCTTGTACAATCAGCGTTGCCGTCTTTGAGCCGAACTCCCCTTGCACTGTGCAGACCACAGACCCAGCCTCTCCACGGCTGACGTTGCGGATGGTGAACTCCACACAGCTGGGGTCCCCAGAGCAGAATCTGGCTGTAAACCTCTTTGAGATTGATGTGATGTCACCGCTGAAGGGGATGGTGAGAACCAGCAGATCTCTGACCATCCAGGTCATAATCTGCCAGCTTCCCTGCACAGAGGCGTTGAAACTCACATCAGAGCCTTGCAGCGCGTTGGTGTTCAGAGGCCTCAGCTGGAACTGATCTGGACCCGCTGAAGCTGAAAGAGACAATGTGACAGGCAGGGGAAAGTTTATCATTATATTCTGATAAATACACTCTGGATGGTCTGGAGGCACAGGACTCTGGATCATGAGAGGGTGCTGTTTGGCTGCACCATGCCATCTCATAGTACAGAGGTACAAATTAAGGATTTAATGAGGTTTAAGTTCATTTGTTTAAAATCTATGTTAAATTTGTTGCCAGCAACATGTTTCAAATGAGGAGACAGGGCTTGTATACCATTGTGCTGCATCACCTCTTGTGATAACACTGTGTAAACATTTGGGAACCCAGTTTTAAGGGTGAACTGTTATCCCATTCTTGTCAGATAAAGGAGTCAAGCTGCCCAACAGTTCACGATCTCATTTGTTGCTTGTTGCAACATACTAGGTGGCCTCTCTCTCTTTAGAGCAGAAGATACAGCGTCCATGATTTCCAAAGAGAATGTTATACATGGAAAGTCAGACTACAGGTCAGTTTTTCACTTTGCCCTAGTCCATCTTGAGTGGGCTCTGAGAAGTCTCTGGTGTCTGTGGATCATGTTCCTCTATACATGGAGCACTTTTAACCTGACTTGTGGAAGCAATGAACACTGTTTTTTTAAGTGATTTTGAGTCCATGCAGTGAAAAATTTCTGTCTCTCAGTATAAGTTACTGACTTTGTCCCTTCTGTTCTGAGATACCTCTAGATTTCCAGAATCATTCATACACACTCTCTATCATAAAATCCTCTTTTTTTAAAGTGTTTTACACTCAGACACAGTATTCTGAACTCTTGACGACCATGCGATGTGCCACAGAGAACTAAACCTCTTCTTTACTTCATGAGACTCTGCCTCTCTTGGATGTTCTTTTTATGCCCTATGGATTAATATGGGTTATGCCCTGTGATAAATATGTGCTCGAGCTGATAAATAACCTACTGCAGCTGTTCAAAGCTAAAATAACATGACTTTATCATGCAGTGGAATTCAATATATGAAAACAAAGATTAGAAAAACATGAGCAACTCAATAAATCAGACCAGTAACTTTTGCCGAACTTTAAATTCACCCAGAACAGAGAGAATGAAACACATAAGAGTCTTTGTTCAAATCAGTGTTGAGACAAGTTCCAGTTTGCTCAAGGAACGTAAATACTTAAGGGACGTTTGTTTTGTTTTGTCAAGACTGAAACTCAAACACTCATTTATCTTGACTAATCCTTCACATGTGAACATCTAAAGACTTGAAGAGGAGAAACACTTGTATTTTTCCTTAAATGTTTCTTTCTATTGTTGCGTCTTTAAAGAGTGAGAACAGAGATGTAAAATAGTTTTCTCTTCCTGTGTCTTCACCAATCTGGGTTGTTTACATTCAATTTAGGCTGACTACACTGAGTTGCATCTGTTTGGTTTGTTTCACCCTTTCATGGCAGCACTGAGGGTAATAAATAACAGCACAAAGAAACTTGTTTTCTGTCAGTGTTGCATAGCAGAGAACGATCATGACATGCTGATGATTAACTCATTTGCAGCAAAGCTTAGACTCCACTTGCAAAATCTACACACTGTGGTTTATTTTAGCAGTAAAAGCCTGACAGAGGAATTTAGTGATATTAACCTGGGTTTTAAATTTGTGAAATCACAACAACATGTTTCTGACTTTTTAAAGTAGAGATTCAGTCAGGTTAAAATGCTTTGTTGCTTAAGTTTTTTTATCTAGAGAAAAAATCTTGGCCAGTGGTTTATAAAAACAGGTAAATGGTTGTCAGATTTGTGATGATGGACAATAAAATACTCCCAAGCCTAGTAGTGCCTGATAAGTCAATGCTAAAACCACCGAATACTCAGAATACAGAATCAGTAAAATCAGTAAATGGCATTAACAATATTATTCAAATGTTTATTAAAAACTAATATTTCATAATTATATTTAAAGGCAAGACAAGGAAATAATTCCTTTAAACATGTTGATAATGAACACAACTGACTGACTCCCATGTCCTCCCACGCTTTTACTAATGATTAAATTATGTTTGATCTGTGTCACCAGCCCCACTGCAAAAACATTTTAGAGATGTGAATGTCTCATGAAGCAATAGTTTGTGATGCTTTTATTTGGACATTTTTACTGTCTTGCTTTTATGAAATTTTCTGTATGCTTTTATTTTGAAATGAAATACATGCACTTTCCAGTGCCCTGTAAATAACAGAACTAAGTGAAAACAGCTAGAACTGGTTGGAAAGAGTAAATGTTCAGTGTATGCTACGTTGCTTTTGGATTCATATTAAACCTTCAAACACCAGTTTGTAGAGGCTGCTCAGTTTCTGTCCCACAGCATCAAGACTACTACTGCCAATAACTGATAAATGGGGCTGTAAAACTAAGATCTTTGAAAGGTTTTATGGTATTATAATTCAGACCTTTACAGGCTTCATTAACCTCACAGAAATGTATATACAAATAAATGTATTTATTCCTAAAAGGAAAAAAAAAGACTTTCTTGTCAAAATCACTGAGTAAGAAAACCACTTTACATCTTTATTAAAATAAGTAACTTGCAAGAACTTCAACACATAGAACTCCAGACTTTAGTCCAGTCTGTGTCAAGCTGACATATGTTTTAGATCATAATTATTAACAGAAAATAAATATTTACCTCCAATTGTATAGAGTAATGAAAAGATACAGAAGAGCCATGACATTTTCCAGGAGACAGTCATTATGTTGTTTTCCTGAAAAATAAGAGACAGCTGTGAGAATCTGCAGCAAATACTGTAAAATCTCCACACAAGGCTCCTTTACATCTGCTCTGTAAAAAAGAAAATATTCATTTAATATAATCTTGTGAAGTTAATCAAAGCCAGAGAAGATGTCAATAACTGGTGGCAGTATCACAGAGGAGAGTGTTTGATAACACTGGATCTGTAAGCGTAATGTCAGGAGATGTACAGGCTTTCTTCCTACAAATGACAAAGACCAAAAAAAGTAGATGTCATTTTACCATTAAAAGATGCCGGGGAATCAAGTCAGGAATGATGAGTTGTACATGGGCAGTTATTCAGATAAAATTTGTTCATTTCTTCACTCTTCTCCTCTTATTTTCTTCTCTGAGCTACTGTCTGGACTTAAAACCACAATTAAAAGTTTTTCCCGTCTAAATTAATTGAAAGTGTCACAGTTACTACTGTTTTTGCCACATTATCAACAGGATGCGGCGAAGTCAAGTAATGCTGTCTTATAGCCGCTTTTTGCCAATTGTTTAGACACATGTGGCGTATCATCAGGTTGTCCTCAGTGCTGTCTTTGCTATTCAGAATGACTCACTCACAATGAGAGGTTTGACCAATCAGAATCAAGTGTGGCCATGTGATCACTAAGAAAACCAGTGAATAAAATGTTAACATCCCAAATAAGTGTTTTAAAACTGATTCTAGCTGAGAAAGATATTTTCTGGAGTGGTTGAAATTCTTTTAGAAAGTAAAATAATTTTTTTTTCATGTTTCAGTTCTCAGTCAAAGAGAATGGAGATGGGGGCGCAGATAGCCTAGCAAATTCTAGGAATATTCTATTCTATTCTATTCTATTCTATAAATTGGCATAACCACATATGGAGGCTATAGTCCTCGCAGCGGTCACAGTTTTGAGTCCCAGCCATGATCATTTGCTGCATGGCATCCCTCTCACCCTCTACTCTCTCTTTACCACATTTTCTGTCTCTCTTCACTGTCCTATCCATCAAAGGCACAATACACCCCTAAAAAATTACTTAAAATAAGACAGAATGAAGCTGAACAGTCTCTTTTCACAATTCAATAAAAAACAGACACAAGAAAAGCCACAGATCAGCTGAAAAAATGTGGTGATTATCACACAAAATAACTCTGAGTAAATAATAATAATAATTTGACCTGTTATATTAACTCTTTTGAAACTAATTCATGAGAGTGGAGGGGTCTTGATTTTCATTGCCCTTCATTAGGGAAAATAGTGAGTCTACAAAGTCATTATTTCCTTTTTAAGGTCAGCAATATAAACACAGGGCTGTGGCTCATATTCAACAAACCTGACTGAATGAGATTTGAGTCAACAAACGAGCAGGCTAAACCAACAATAGTGAAGGTTTGTTTCATTTCATATATTCAGTACATGCAGTACAGTGCTTTTAATTTCAGGTAGTAAAGTCTGGTGCAGTTACTCTTACAAACATTTACAGACCAGATAAGTAAATCCAGCAGTGAAACTTACTGCTCCCTATACCCCCAAAAAAGTTAAGATTCATCTAAAAAATTAAACTAGTAATGTTTAATATCTAAAAAAGGAAAAATATAGTAAAAGATGTAAATTTGTTTCACAGGCCTACCGTGGTACAGTTATTTCCTCATCACTCAAGTCTATCAGGGTACATAGTTTAGCTTTTCTATGCTTGATCAGTTTCGATATCAAAACAATCAAGCCTGATGAATCCTATCACATTAATTCCTTTCCTTCATTAGCACATTTTATCCAAAAGTAGTGTTGTCATCAAGTTAAATAAACTTACTGTGTTTGAGCTCCTGCTGCGTCGTGTCAAATGAAGCTTCATTTCCTGAGAGCAGGTAAACAGTGGACTCCACCTGAAGCTGTGACGGCCCCACTGAGAGCAAAGGTTCAGGTGTGGTCATAAAAGCTACTCTTATCAGCCCACAGTCAGTCTGCAATAAAAGCCAAACAGACGCTCAGGTGAGGCTGTGAGGGGATGTTTCCACCTGCTGGTGAAGAGGCAGGTGATTCTGCATCTTATCAGATTATCAATTTCACAATAATCAAGTGGTGAGCTGTATGTGCTGCCCTTAGCTTTGAAGTATTAGACCCACTGTGACTCTTTTGAGAGATTTCTGGATTCTTTCATTTTTATTTGGTCATTGCCAATATGTTGCAATACCAGTCCTCTCCAGATGGAGGTGCTGTTTAAGACTCAAAGTAAAATGAGGGAAACCCCCACTGGTTAATCAACAACATAAGGAATAACTCAAAATAGAAGAAAAATCCAGGGGATAGGGAGGCAGTTATCCAAAAGAATGAAAATGTTTGTAGCTAAAAAACATTTAAGTTTAAATTTATTCAACAGGAAAGTGGAAATATTTTTAAAACAATATTTCCAAATAATACTCTTAAAAGAAATAATCATAAATATAAGATATAGTTGAAGAATACACTCCTTGAGAATAAAATGGCTTATATAAATTTGTATTTTACTTCTTGAATGGAAATGTTTTATTATGCTGATATGAGTCTTAAAGTATCTTACTGTTTATGCAACCCACATAACTAATATAAGGTAAACATTTTAATGAACTTTTAATCCCATAAATTACCAAAAGAGCAACCACCACTCTAACAAACACTTCTTCACATAATATTTTCAAATAATTAAAAAAATATATATTTAAAAATATATAATAAATACATTTAACTCCTTAACAGAGTATCAGGATTAAAGGAGCAGTATGTAGAAATGGGAATATCTGGTAGCAATTGCTCCCTTGCTCACCCCTCTTGTTGGTGAAGCTATGGTGGCCTTCAGGGTCAAGAAGTTTTTACTGTCAAAAACCTGTTTCACCAAAAACCTTTCTCCCACACTCACCAACACTTTCTACCTGGAGCTTCTTGCACTACCATTCACTGAAAAAAAATTACATATTTTTCAAGTTTGTCTGTTTTGTGCAGCTGTAGAAACTTCAAGTTGGGAAGTTCAAGATGGCAGCCTCTGTGGTAGGGGACCCGTTCTAATATGGATTGAAAAGGCTCATTCTAATTGATATATTTATGTCACTGTACATTTGTTTTAAAATATAAATATCATTTCTTATTTCTACCAAATCTCTTCTGATAAATGAGGCTAAATACAGCAGACTGCACCTTTAATTATGAGGGATTATTTCTCTGTGGTTTACAGTTTAGTCATGTTCTCTGACATAAATTTATGCTGACTCGAGCTTCTTCACACAGGGAAAAAGTGGGTTTGCTTCTAGCCCACCAGACCCAAATCAAGTTTATTTATAGTGTCAGTGCAAACAAGACATAATCAGTATAATGAACACATGTGGCCAGTGCTGTGGCCCAGAGGCCCCAACAGCGACCCGACCTCAGGGCTAAAAGGAGAGAAGGGTATGACCTAAAAAACTCTCACCATGAATTTATATTCTCTAAATCTATGCCAGATTAGAGGGTCAGGGAACAGGAAAAAATAAAAGAGGAAAAATCCTAACACACTCTGAGATTAAAGCCAAAACAACAAGGATGAATTAAAATATCAAGCACAAAGTTAAGGAACAATTTTGAGAAAAAGTAAAAATTAAATTGTGCAAAAATAAGGTATAAATGTAAGGAAAAGGGCTGAAAGTTGATCAGAGATTATAGCATCACATTTAAAGCTCCTGTGAGGACTTTCTGTCTGTGTTGATGTTGGCGCCCCTTTGGACAGAAATGGTAACACTTACAGCCTTGCTGACATTCAGAAACAGCTGCCAACATTATGAGAACAGAGTTGAAATAAAATTGCGGTCTTGGTTTATGGTCAGTAACCCACTGTCTGTCTGTCTGTCTGTCTGTACCAGAAGGGTTTTAAGTTGAGTAAGATAATCCAGCCCACTCTGGTTCAACTGTGCTTTAGTATATTTAACTGCACGTCAGCTTCGCATTTTTAACCACTGACACTGAGGGACTTTTTATTGGTGATTCTGATTTAATTCTGAGTCTTTATTATTTGCTAGTCTGACATTTGTACTTCTATTCTCTATAATAATGATATTTTCTTAATGCTGCTGAATTTCATTGTTTAAGTATTGCTTTTAAAAATAGGTCCTTTTCAATAAAGCAGAAACATAACTTCGCTTTTAGGTAGCCTGATGTTAAGATGACCACAACTCAAACTCTGTTCCCCCTCTCCATTATCGCTTTTGCTGCTGACCACACTGCAGATGCATGTCTGCAGGTGATCCTCTCCTTCCCTGCAGCAGGTCGATGAAAGATGGTGGAGCTGCAGCAGTGAACCAGAGTCCGCACTCGGACTGTGGAGCAGCCTGTGGACCTGTGATAAATTTTGATTAGAGTCAGTGGGACTGCTGTAACAAGCTCATCACCACAGAGGTCATCTAGTTTTAACACAGTCAGATGTGCTGCAGGACCGTCACTGGAGGTCTGACCTACTTTAAAATTCAGCTCAGAAAAAAAGACCTTCATAAGATGCTGTTTAGCTTGGGTGATGTTACAAATGTCAGCCACTAGAGGTCACTGTAGGACTATGTTCTGTTTAAAGCCCCCTTTAGGAGTTTTTCACAGGTTATAAAGCAGACTAGCGTTAACAATATTGCGTCTACCTACACTGCCAAATCAGACCATCACAGATTGGACTGACAATTTCAGCATCGTTTCCTGTAATGCTTTAATGCCACAGCGAGGGCTGGGTGTCTGACATGACAGCTAACAGCATACTGATGAAACTTTATTTTTAAACTCCAGTCAAGTATATGCCAATGTTTATAAAACTCAAGGTGAGAAATCAGATTTTAATCTGTAAACAGATCCTACACATCCTACGCATGTATGGGACAAAATCAGCAAAGATCTTAGAGACACCACTTTGAGAGGTCTCCATATCAACAGAGACCAAGAACTGTCTCTGAGAAGCTTCAGACAAAATGCTTTGCTTTATAAATCCAGAAGTGTATATTTAATCTTT